AAAAATGGCCGCGGACCACGTGTCAGGGGCAGAAAAATGGCCGCGGACCACGTGTCAGGGGCGGAAAATGGCCGCGGACCACATGTTGGGCGGAAAAATGGTTGCGGACCATGTCACGGGAGGGAAAATGGCCGCGTATCCTGTTCATACCCCGAGGTGGAGTTCGCAAACCGAGGTAAATTTTTGTGGCCGGAGCTAGTCGTAACCCGAAAAGTTTGTTAACAGAGGCGTTCGTAACCCGAGGTACCACTGTAATCCACAAAGGGGCTGAGACTTTTCAGTTTCCAGAGGGGAAAGGACTGATCTAGGACTGTAGGGAAGCAATATGTGTCTCGGGGAAAATCAGCTCTGGGCTCTCCTCAACCTTTCCCGGTGCTGTCAGTGGTTAAGGCAGCATAATTAACTAGATAGAATAATAAACATACTGCACAGGTTAGTATGTATTGTTTAATCGGGATAGTGAATAAATAACCATGGACCTACCTAGTTCCCTAAGTAGGCAAATCTACCTTAAGGAAAGAAATTATGAATTTTCATCCTGCCAAGAGTGAGAACCTCCCAAAGCTGCTGTTCCTAGAAGTTGTGGGACCTGGGGTTGCTGCAATTCTATAGTATTGGGAAGGGGGATCTACAGGTTTTATATTTCTAAAATAATATTAAACAGATTTAAACTTCTAAGTTTAAATATTCATATTTTTTTTAAAAAATCCTTTACCGCAATAATCAACTAATCATCTGACTCTTATATAAATGGTTTATTTGAACTGCTTCTTCCTTGCTTTCATTTTTGCAAACATTACCATTTAGTTAGAGTTAAGAATTGCTCAGCAGCCTAACTCTATATGGCAAAACGAATAAATCACCTTTTATGCTCTATGGAAGATCTTGAGGGATCATTTACTTGTTTCAGTTTATCAAAAGTACCCTCTCCTATTTTTGTTGCTGCTGCTGATAATGGTAATGACAGTGAGCAATTATATTTCTAATCCACCTATAACTAAGTTGCCTGCATAATTAAAACATGACTTAAAACAGTAAAAACAAGAGCATGAGTAGTATGGGAAGAATTTTAAAAAAAGATAATGGTAATGCAGGCCATTGCAATGACCAACTGACCACAAAAATGTCTGGCAGAAGAGGGGTGCCTTCTCCTGGCCCTGAAAAGACCACCACAGGGGAAGATTTGCTTCCATGGGAGGAGACCCCCACCCCCAGGGCTTACCGTGGAGAAGTTCCTTTCCCACATACAGCATCTGAAAAGGGAAGCCAGAGGAGAGCTCCTGAGTGTGACCTAAGGGTCAAACGTTACATCCTGGCCTGGCATTATCTGTTTCACAGGAACTGCTGTTAGACTTAGCAGGGAAATAAAGCAAGCAAAGGGGGTTTTTTTCTATCACATCTAATAGCTTTTATTGCTACACTTGAATTGGAAATATTTTCTGGAGAGCAGCTGTTAAATCCAGAGATGATTGTAGGACAAGAAAAGCACTTCAAAATCCAGAATCCTAAGAACTCAGCCTATGATTTTAAATAAAATAAATTTCTCTCTGATCTTTAATTTTTCATATGAACAATTCTCGTATGCATGCTATACTCCTTAGGAGTAAAATCACCTTTGAGTTGATCCATGTGGGCTTATGGCAGCAGAACATGAGAGGTTTACTCTTGCCTTCTTCCAAATGCCAACTGCTCCTGACTGAGTTTAGGTTGAAGCCCAGACAAGGTCAACCAAAATTATTCCATCCAAAGTAGTCCTAAAACTATTATTAATGATTTGGCTCATTACTCATTACAACATTTAGATAAAATAGAGAAAGATGGAGATGTTCAACTAATCTCTTCTTTTTATTATTTGCCTTTTGTTTCATTTATTGTGGAAGTTTTGACCAAATTCAGAAATTACTCGCTGCAGTTTTGCTTGATTACTTCTCAACAGAAACATATGTATAATCCCTTAGAGAATATCAGTGTCACTTTTAGGGGGTTGATTGATCATGTACATTGCTGCTGAAACAGTAAATAAGAAACCATGGACACCTTGCATTTTGGGTGGCATAAGAGTATCTTACGCATCATAGAAAGGGCAAAGAAAAAAAATGGCCTTGAAACAACCCTTTATAGACATTGTTCACCAAGAACAGGGGAGAGAGGTGGACTTACCAGATTGATTGGTAGGAATGAGTAAAGCTGCAATAATACAGCACTTTGTTTACTCTCAGTTAAATATTTTCTTCCTTTAGATCCAGACTTGAGCCTGAGCAAAGCAATAAATCAACACTAACTGCTTCTCTTGGAAAAACACTTGAGACATCTTCTGAAGAATTGGAAGAGAAGCCTACTTGTGCAGGCAACCGAGGTGGTATTTCATTCCTGTAACATCACAACATCCATGCTTTTTATGTTGAGGTTCATACAGCTTCCAGTTGGATAATTTCCTATTTATTAATTCAAGAAAAATAGTCTTCAATTATTTATCAGTATGCCATATTTACAATGTGTTATATGAAAATGAAATGGTATATTTCAGAGGTTTAAGTGATCCATATAAATATTTATTTTTTTATTGTGCCTTTGAGTCAGTCTTCATGTAGTTTTCTTGACAAGATTTCAGAAGTGGTTTGCCATTGCCTGCTTCCTAGGGCTGGCAGAGAGGACTAGCCCAAGGTCACCCAGCTGGCCTTGTGCCTCAGGACCAGAACTCACAGTCTCCCAATTTTTACCTTTAACCACTACACCAAACTGGCTGTCATTATCAAGACTGATACTGATACTAGTTAGGAATATACCTTTTAATAGTCATAATTTATGCTCATTATTCCATATTCTGCATTCTAAAATAATACAGAATAAATCCTGATCTTCTGTGTAACATCTGTTCAGGTATTTGAAGAGGGGTATCATACCCAGTCCCCAGGTCACCTTTTCACAAGGCTAAACATTCCCCATTCTGTGTATTTCTCTTCATGGGATTTAGTTTATTGTGAAGAATAGTTAGAACCAGTACTCATGGTGGGGCCTGGTCAATGCAAAATGAAGAAGTGGAATGATGGCTCTGTGTGAGATGGAAACTGTACTATTACTGAGGCAGCCTAAAATTGCATTTGGCTTTTGCAGACACATCATACCACTAGCTCATATTCAGTTTGCAGTCGAATGTCATTCCAATGAAAGTACTATTATCAGATTAGGTATTCTGCATTCTGTACCTGTTTTTTGTTCTATAAGTGAGGAACTTTGTGTTCCAGCTAGCATACTTTCACCATTAATCTATGCCATCAATTTTCCAAATTTGCTCCTACCAGCATCTGTGCCAGATTTCTTTTTAATTCCTTCCAGTCACTTTTACCAGATAAAAATAAACTGCTCTAATTTACCCAGTTCTCATTAGATGGTATTTCACCTGCCAGTCATGTGCATTTAATTTTGATTGCTGCTTTGTTTTTTAAGGGTGGGTGTGCCCCAAAGCAGGAAGAAAAATTGAGAGAATGCCAAATCATCCAGTGCAAAAGTCCCTTTATTTCCACACTTAACCTTATAAAAATATATATAATACAGTGGGGCAAAAAAGTATTTAGTCAGCCACCAATTGTGCAAGTTCTCCCACTTAAAAAGATGAGAGAGGCCTGTAATTTTCATCATAGGTATACCTCAACTATGAGAGACAAAATGAGAAAAAAAATCCAGAAAATCACATTGTCTGATTTTTAAAGAATTTATTTAATTGTGCAAGTTCTCCCACTTAAAAAGATGAGAGAGGCCTGTAATTTTCATCATAGGTATACCTCAACTATGAGAGACAAAATGAGAAAAAAAATCCAGAAAATCACATTGTCTGATTTTTAAAGAATTTATTTAATTGTGCAAGTTCTCCCACTTAAAAAGATGAGAGAGGCCTGTAATTTTCATCATAGGTATACCTCAACTATGAGAGACAAAATGAGAAAAAAAATCCAGAAAATCACATTGTCTGATTTTTAAAGAATTTATTTAATTGTGCAAGTTCTCCCACTTAAAAAGATGAGAGAGGCCTGTAATTTTCATCATAGGTATACCTCAACTATGAGAGACAAAATGAGAAAAAAAATCCAGAAAATCACATTGTCTGATTTTTAAAGAATTTATTTAATTGTGCAAGTTCTCCCACTTAAAAAGATGAGAGAGGCCTGTAATTTTCATCATAGGTATACCTCAACTATGAGAGACAAAATGAGAAAAAAAATCCAGAAAATCACATTGTCTGATTTTTAAAGAATTTATTTGCAAATCATGGATTTTTTTTCTCATTTTGTCTCTCATAGTTGAGGTATACCTATGATGAAAATTACAGGCCTCTCTCATCTTTTTAAGTGGGAGAACTTGCACAATTGGTGGCTGACTAAATACTTTTTTGCCCCACTGTATGTAAGGTCTTTGCTGTAAGGTTCGTTGCATTCGCCGCTGAACAGAAACGTCGTGAGGCACAGGCTCAAACGAAAACTAGTTTATTCAGGGGTAATGTGAAGCGGTTACAGATAAAGCCAGGATTGGCCTGGCACAGTTTCTTACAATAGTTTTATAGGGTTCCCCCCTCGACCCGCAGTTACCCCTCAGTTCCGCCCATTGCCCTTGCCCTGGGCTACCCATCTGTCCCTTGCAATCTTCCTTCCCCTTCTTCCTTCCCCTTGCCTCGATGACAGATTCAGCCAGTTTCTGTTGTGTTGTAATCTTCCTTTGTCTGCCTTGCCCTTGCATTCCTGGAGCTTTTCTTATGGTGAGTTGGAGTGGCTGTTTTAATCTGGTTTCGAATTGCCCACTGATTGCCTCTGAATTGCTGCGCTCCCGGTGTATTGTAAGCCAGAGTTGCCTGGGGAGCCGGCTGTGCTCCAGTTTGCTGCTTCTAGATGACTCCCTGCTGCGAGTTAACTGCCGGTCCCCTGTCGGTAGTTTACCTGCGGTTGCCTTGTTTCCTTGCCTTGATCACCTATTGCCTGAGGCAGTGAAACTGACCAAGGGCTCTGCACTAGCAGTGTGTGCTTTCTAGGCTGAATCTGACATTTGCTGTCTTAAGAAAGTTAAAGAGAAGACATTCGCTCTGGAGCTGAAACTGAAAATGGCCCCCTGGGTGCCATTAGAGGTTCCTTCCTGCCATTGGGGGTCCCATTAGGAGGGGGAAATCGGGGGAGGGCAGTAGATGCAATAATTGAGGCCAAAGGAAGATGAGACATGGGAAGAGGTCAGAACAATTGTCACCTGTGTCTTTTATCCAGACTCACTCCATTAAGAATGGTTCAGAAAAGATTAATGGTATAAATTCTGTGAAGTTCCAGAGCAAACATTTTTTGAAAACTATATGTTCCCTCACATTGTGAAAATAGGAATTTTTTTTATGAAAAAGCAAAATAAATATAAATACCTTTAAAGATTAATCTCTGTATTTGATTACTTTATTTATATACCCATGTTTAATATATTTTTTATTAAATTTATTAGAATTGTGTTTTGGCTGGCCACTGGCACTGAATGACTGCCATTTTGTGAACAGCCAGATTTCCATGGCAGCCATTTTATAGTGGCATCCCCAAAATCAGGAGGAGTCTGGTAGCACCTTTTCAGAGTACCAATTTTGCTTAGTCGGAAAAGATGCTCCCAGACTCCTGATTGTGAGCTACCATAAACCAACACAGCTCTCCTCCTACAGAGTGTCTGCCTCTGTTTGAAAACCAGAAACCTTATGACAAAAACTCAAAGCCAGTTGTAAGGATGAAATAATATAAATATTCTTTTTATGGTTGTAAACTAGGAACATTTTATTTAAATCAGTGATTTAAATTGGCTGTTTTCCTCCCTGATTTAAATCTTGGTTTGTATTGCCTCCACTGAGATGAATCTGCCCTCTTGAGGGTTGAGCTGCAGTTAAGCGCTTTCTGTTCTCTTGGGCTCATCTCTGTTTCTCCTTTCTCATTGACTGGAATTTCTTTTTCTCTGCTTTGGTGAGTGAGTAATGTATGAACTTATTTCCCTTCTCCTGTCATGCACCTTCTGCAAAGTGCTGTTAATGGCTATTAAGGAAGGGACCGCGTTGGTCTCTCCCTTAGGACAACCACCTCCCAACCGGAGGAAGGAGGCTTGTGCTAGTAGAGGCCAAGAGGAGCAGTGTGCCAGGGGGCATCTCCTTGCATCTTCCCATTTTTTTCCTTCTGTGGAGCAGGAGGTGAGGCTGTCTGGCTCCACCCTCCCTGCAGGACTGGGGCTATTCTTGGACAGAGCCTTTGCCAAACAAAGTTCCCCCTCGGCCTGAAGTGGACTAACGAGTTTTTCTTAGCCAGAATTTCTTCATCTGTGCAGAACTGAACCTTGAATGTTTCTTTGATTATTGCCAGCCACAGCAACTCAACCCTCCCTACAGAGATTCAAAATAGCATTTCATCTGCGTGCCAAGTCCAGTACTACCAAAACCTTTTTGGGATTAAGGGAACTGCAAGGAGATCATCTCTCTCCCATTTTTACACTAGATAGTGGTCCTGGGTGCATTTGTCTACTTCTCAGGATGCAAAAATGCCACATTTCAATAGCCCTGACAGACCCTGAGAGTAATTCGTTCTTGTGGGATAGTAAAACAAATACTTCATTTATTTTTGGTGCTATAAACCGATCACTCTCCTGTTGTATTGTAGATGAAATTTTGATCATCTAAAATTGAAGCCAGATAGGGTTCTACAAATGTAGCTACATTTAAAACAAGGAGTAATATAGCCTACAAGGAACAAAACAACCTGATTATTGTGTTACTCCCTATTAGGGCCTGCCATGTAGCTAGCTGTAATTCATCTTCTTACAACAACACATTGGTTTGTAACATTGTCATTGCAGACAGACTATTCGTATCAAATGAGAAGCAGATTTATGTTCACAAGGACAGAATGTCCTGTGCTGGCGAGGGTCTGATCTTGCCAATGTCCTGATTCCTAGGAAATTTTGATTTTAATTTTTAAAGATGTCTTCTTTTTTTGACTGATAGGGCATAGTTGAGAATGGTCAGATACTTTCTGAAAATTTGGAAAGCAGAGGAACTAATAAGATTACATTGATCCCATGTGTGGCTTCAACCCAGGATAGCTCTTGCCCTTTCATATACTTGATTAAGCAAAAATGATAATGTGAAATAAAAGGAACTACTAAAATGTTCATAGTCTGCATGATTATACAGGTTGCGGAATTCAGCTTTTCATACACAGAATCTGGGTTATGCTATTTGTGAGTTGTTGCTAGGGTTTTGTTTTGTTTTGGTAAACTTAAAATCCTAAAGGTAACTGTTCCAAAGAAGTGCAGCTCAGTTTGAATGTAGTGGAGGCCTTCCATATTTGATGCCACTATTTTAGGAATACAGTAATTCACTTTTTTATTCACATTCTGAATAAAACCTGAGAGATGACTTTGCAATATCTCATCCAGAATTGTTTTTAAAAGAAGCACGCTGAATGGTTTCCCAAGAGAGCTAACTTCTGATTTTACATGGCAACTTTCTAGTGTAATTGAAAGCATTTCTCCAACAAAAGTAAACAAATACAAACAAAGCAATACAAATATTATTCAAGTATCTTAGAAAGTGGTCACAACTTATTGGGATAATTTTCATGCTCTTAGGGTATTCTGGGAAGTGAGTAGAAAGTCATCAACGAGGAGGTAAGTACCATGGTGACCTGCAAGGGATGTACAATATTACCATTCCTGCCTAAGAAGGATTTCAACTACAAGTGCACCAGCTGCAAACTCATTGGATTCTGGAGGCACATCTAACAACACTGGAGGCACATCTAACAACGCTGAAACTCATTATGGAAGATGAGGAGTTTCTGGACAAGGCAAAAGGATGTCTGCAAAATGAACACAGGAAGAAAACAGGAGACCCAGAGGAGGAGCACTTTGGCAGGACCAGGAGGTCAAAGAAACACTTGAGCCTCACAATCAGTTTCTGGTCCTCCCTCTGGAGGATGACCCTCAGACTTCTGGAGAAGAGTTTTCACCCAGTGTTCCAGGGATGGAAAGGGGAGAAGCTCTTCCATGGTGAGGAATCCAACTGCTGTCCCAAAGAGGATGCATGTGGTGATGGTTGATGTGTGACTCAGTGCTGAGAGGAGCAGATTCAGCAATCTACATACTAGACACGAGAGCAACAGAACTATATTATCTACAAGATGCAAAAATTCTGGATGTGATGCAGAGACTGAATTGACTAATCAAACCTGCTGACTACTATCCTTTTCTTCTATTTCATGTCACAACAACTGACATTCCCAAAAGAGCCTGGAAAGAATATAGAAGGATTACAAGGAGCTGGGTAGGAAGGCAAAAGAGTTGAGCGCAGGTGTCCATACTTCCAACTGAAGATCAAGGCCAAGGAAGGAATGTAGGATTCTGGAGGGGGACTGCTGACTCTAGATGGTGTTGAGAAAATTTGGGATTCCTACAACATGATATACAGTATTTACAGGAAGGGTTTCTGGTGACAGATGGGCTGCACCTCACCTAGACTGGGAAGAAAGTATTTGGAAGATGTCTTGCTCAGGTCATTTGGAAGGGAAGAGAGACCAATACCCAGAACCACCCTCAAGCCATAAGCCTGAAGGCAGTAAACTGTACCACAAGGAAGGAAGTGGTACAAAGGAAGGGGTGCTCAGCTTCATCTGGTGCACGAGGAAAGATCTGGCTCCAACAAACAGGTGGCTGAGCTAACAGCACAGAACCTATCCACTTCCCTGAGAGTAACCAACTCAAACTCATCCCAGATCCCACCACGTAATGGTATGTGGAAATGACAGTGAGGGACGGGAGAGGTACTTTCAGACTTGCAAGATTCTGTTAATGTAACCTTAGAATAAAGATAGAGCTAGTACTCCTGGTTGTACTTCTTGTCTGGACTACCTCACAAGGCTAACACTCTTGCAAGTCTGAAAGTATCTCACTTTTACTCTCCCGAAAACTAGGGAGGATCCCTTCTGAGTCATTTTCACCACCCCTCCTCCTCTGGGCTCAAATTTCATTTATAAGACCCTTTTCTAGGCTGCGGCACTTCCTCTTGTCTCCCAAGGTCATTTCCACATGCATTACATGCCACTAGAGTGTGCTTCTGGCACTTCAAGCAGACTTCACCAATTAGAGTCCAACTTGGTGCAGATCTGAGCACCTTTGTCCACCAGATAGCCAGAATGTTCCTCACAGCAGCCCCGTGGATGATCCAGTGACCTGTCTCTATGTAACAAGGACTGGGTCACCCCAAAACGGGCCACTGGATGACTATTAACAAACACAACAGGGTGGCATTTTCCCACCCTTATTACCATGAGGTGATCCATACTATGGGCCCTTACCCATGTTTGATCAGATTCACTCTTAACTCTTCCAATGGTGCTCCAGACATCTCTTGTGGTGCTTCATCTCCTGGAACTCTTCAGTAAATAAAGGTGTGCCCTGGGAGCAGCATGCAGGGAGAGCCCACATTGGGACAATGCATTCCAAGGCTTCAAGCACCTGCCCATTCCACTCAGTGACCAAGGGAAACTCAGGCAAACTACCTACCAGATCCTTGGGAAAAACCTCAAGCTCTGGAATCCCAGTGGGATCCTTGAGTCACTTCTGTGGGAAGGATGGCATCCGTGAACCAGAGGCAATCAGAGAGTGATCTATCTGTGGCAACAGACTGATGTTAATGTCCTACATTGCCAGATAATGTTGTAATTGCCCTGAGACAAAAACCAGATCCAGTGTGCAACCACTGATATGCGTTGGGCCATCAGTGACTTGAAGTAGGGCCATGGGGGCCACAAACTCCTGTGCCGCTTTTTGCACCTCATAATAACGTTTATATTAGTTTTGCTTGATATGTATTGGGATCTTTGTGTAAGGAATGCCCCGTTCGTCAAGAGAAATTCCGTGACACATGTATCATAAAGATACAAGCATAACGCAACAGTTACAAACAAAGCCAGGACTGGCTTGGCACATTTCGTTGTACAACTTATAGCTCTCCCCTTCCCGCGTTTCGCCCCGTCGTCAAGTTACATGTAGCGGCTTGTCGGTGCCCCAATAATCCCCCTTGATGGTCCAAATGGCAGGTTCAGCCAGTATCCCATTGTCCCTTGATTGTCTGCCCCTCCGCCGTGGGCTTGTTTCCTTGGGGTCCTTTCAGCTGTGTGCAAAGCTGGGGTTTTCTCGATCGTGCAGTGATCGCCTTTCTGCGGCTTGCGGCTTTGCCCTTTGTCTTGGCGCGCACCGCTCATCAGAGTGGATACAATACATCCACTCTGCGGTTTCCTTGTTAAGTGGGCGCAGGTGGCCCATTAATCAGCCGCGGCTCTCACGTCCTCTTTCTCCCTGGCTTGCGAGCGGGCGGTAGAATTGGCTCAGCGCGGCTGGCCAGGTTTTCCTAGCAGTGCCGCGCTGGTTGAACCTGACACTTTGAACATGAATAACCAATACTGGCTCCTCTAGGAGGGACACAGACATCCACCAAGCCCTGGAGAATATAAGTGCATCTCAGTTTCCTAAATACAGTAGCAGGAAAAAGTAGGGCAGAAGTTAAAAGCTTAAAAGGATGATCCTTTAACTTAAGAGAAACAGAGTTATGTTGCTTCTTGCTTCACCACAACTCATATTTTTGTCTTAGACAAACTTGTCTAGCAAGTTTGGACTACTTTCATGTTGATAATAATTTTGTTTGGCTTCTTTTACAGAGAGAAATCTAATAAATGAGCGTGCTAGTTTTGGATTTGGTCAAGATAGCAAAGGAGAAGAGGAGCTTTCCCCTGAAGAAATCCAAGTGGTAAGTTACTCTTTTTTTCTTGAGCAGTGCCATCATGGGTTCCTAGTAACCATCTGCCAGGGAAACTGTTGCAAAGGCTTTCTAAAATTGCCACTTCATCACATGCCCTCCATGTCCAGGCAGTTTGGGAGATAACTTAGGTCATTGGTTTGGTTGGTCAGTGTGTGGTGCACTCTCTCTGTCTTCTCCACATCTTTGACTACTTTGGGAGAGGAACAGCATGGCATTTTGATAAAAAAATTATGAGAGGAAGCAAACAGGGAGAGCCAAGGGGTTTGCCAAGGGATTTGGAAGAGGCTAAAGAGAGGACAGCCAAGGAGGGACAGAGACTGCTGGGGTTGATTGAGTGCTACCTGAGTGCTGTTGATGAACTGCAGGTAGTTTCCTGAGAGTTGTTGACTGCCCGTTGTGCCTGATTAGGGCCTTGGTGGCCTTGTTGAGGAGCTCAAAGAGTCATATAAGGAACCCAGTTTCCAAAGAGCAAACTCACTGAGCAAGCAAATGGGGGGAGGTCCCCCCTGCATTATAGGCTAGTTCTTATCCAGAAAAGTGGCAACTAGTGTAGGCAAATGGGGCAGATGGCATGGAGGTTGATCTAGGAGAGCTGGCAGGGAAGGCTCCAAGTAGTACGAACAGCAAGAGAAGCAAAGTAGAAGCACAAAGTGGACCTAGTGCAAGGGTAAGCTTGTGAAGAGGAAGGGAAGGGGCTTGAGGGAAGCTGATGTTAGCGGGGCAGGAAATGAGGCTGGGCAAAGTGGCGGCAGAGATGTTGACCCACAGAGAGAACATCCAGGAGTCTTTGATGGGAAAAGGCCTAGGGACAAAACCCTGGGCTTGATGCCTGAGCCCTCTGGTATGTACGTGGCTTCTTGCCTAGCTGCGTCGGGTCCTTGAAACTCCTGAGGGTGTGGTTATTGCTGGAGGAAGGGGATTCATTGCTGGGAAAAGAGTGAAATTTAACATCCTGGAAGGTGAAGAGTGTCCCTAGAGATGGCCACAGCAATCTACTTCCACACTGAATTTCCAGCAATTTCTGGCCAGCCCCCAATGCCTATCTTTTTTAATGTTTCTGCTCCTTGGGAAAGTGCCGGGTGCTGGAACCAGCCCTGTAATTTGCTACTTCAGCGTCTCTTTCCCAAGGGCCTTATTCTGAAGACACTGGCAGGAGCATTTACTGGGAAGAGGAGCTAAAGCTGCAGTCACAAGGTGGGCCCCATTCTCTCCCTTTCCCCACCCTGGAGCTTTTCTTATATTGAGAGTTTGAGAGGAAGGGTATTATTTTTATTTGCCTCCTGGCTACATCTATCTCTTGTTTGAAATTCCAGATCACTGTTGTCATCAGATAGAGACACTAATTCAGGTTGCTTTAGAGGAATTTGAGTTTAATCTGGGCATCTCTCAGATCAGTCCACTTCTGGTTTATGAAGAGTGTAAAAGAGTCAGGTTTTACCTTGAGTAATATTAGTCTTATTATTTAAAATATTTGATCTAGCTCTCCGTTGCTTTGAGTCTTTGTTTTTCTAACAATGGTAATTGGGACCGGCAACTCCATTGCTAAGCTAAGTCATAAAGTGCAACATCACATGAATGCGCCGACTTACGATGGCAGTTGCAGCACTTCTGGTTGCTGTTGTTTAAGTGAATCCTGTGTAGTCATTAGGTGTGATGCCACGTGATCACCATTTGTGACCTCCTGCCGGCTTCCCCACTGATTTGCTTGTTGGAAGCTGGCAGTGAAGGTCACAAATGGCAATCACATGACCATGGTATGCTGCGACCGTCACGATTGTAAGCCAATTGCCAAATGCCCAAATCGCGATCACGTGACTTTGGGGGCACTGCAACAGCCACAACTATTAGGACCGGTCATAAGTCTCCTTGTTCAGCGCCATCGTAACTTTGAACGGTTGCCGAACAAGTGGTCATTAAACAAGGACTACACCTGTAATTAGACTTCAGGTATCAATTTTTCTCAGGAGACCAAGAAAACTTGTTTTGCCTCCAGTCTGTATCCATGTTAGGCTTGGATGAAACTTGGAGTGAGCTCAGACAGAGAATTTTAGACTTTGGTTTACAAAGAGACAGAACCAACATTTCTCATCTTTACTAACACACTTACACACTCTCCTTTTACAATTCCCCAACACCTGTATCATTTATTAGTCCCATCTCGCAGGAGGCCTTCACACTGGCACGTCTGGATGCTGTCCTCTCAGTGCTACTGTTGGGCAGATACAATGGCGTTCCTCCCCAGAGCTGTTGTGTATCTGCTCAGACTTCAAAACAGTGGCACACATGCTTCTGAAACACACCCATCTGTTTTGGAGGGCCGAGTCAGTCTCCCCCTTGCTTACAAACTACGTAGCCCACTCGCATGGGGCAGTTGTGTGCTACCTACTAAATGACCAGGATCAGGAAGCCTCCAGAATTGTAGCCAAATTTTCTCAAGTAGAAGTTTTGGGACCTAATTGTTTTTCTAGGTGTAACTTGTGCAGGCATGAATAAGGTTTTTTTCTTCTTTTTTAATTAGATGCAGTGTAATGTATTTCTTAACATTTGCATGTTTGATCTATGACCACATATTTTAATAAACTAAACTGTTTTGTAGAGCTGTTCAGAGATGTTTCCACTGTAGTAATTTTACACTGAATGTAGAGATAATTCTCTTTTTTCCCCCCAATGACTCAGTTAAAGAATACTGGCTCAAAAATTAGTGGGAAAAGGACACATATTTTTAATCTTAAAAGAAGGCACGCACAGATGAAGATGAAGATGAAGATCTGTTAAATTTGGAGAGGAGGGACCTGAATTCAAATTTCTGTTCAACAATTGTTAGATTATCATGCCTTTCCCAGGACCTTCCTTACTGGATACTTGCAGGGATAACTGAAGAAAAAACCAAATTCCTGGGAAAAACGCTTTATCTGAAGCTTATTTTTTCTGTAGATAATCATTGGAACTACGCTTTAAAATACAATAATTATTGCCTTTCTCCTCCAGTTTGAGCAGGAAAACCAACGCCTTGTGGGTGAAATGAACAGCCTGTTTGATGAAGTGAGGTACTTTTTTCCCCTTCTGTTTTCTGGTGTTTTGATCAAGGTTCTCTAGGACCACATAATTTGCTTTAGGTGCGCCTGTACAGGCAGCCCAGTTGGGATTAGTACACATAACACAGCACTCTCAACAGGAGCTGATACGTTCTACTAATGCTGTGTTCTCGTGCAATATATTATTTGCAGCATTCTTACTAACTCCAACAATACAAATACCTGACTAATGCTGCTTCATATTGCACAGATAATTAGTGTCCAATTTGTTCTGTCTAGCAGTCTGCATTTTTACACATCTAGAGTCTACTTCTAATTATATGAATTCTGTTTTTCCAGTGTTGCTATAAACAACTGATCTGCTTTATATTAAGTATCTTATTGAAAATCTGCTTTAGCCAGTAATGCTTCTTAGGCATGTCAGATATTATATATACTTCATTCTATAAAAATGAGAAATGTTTATTCTTAACTGTGTATATAACAAAGTCTTTTTGTTTTTCTTTGTTTTATTTCTATCATTTTTAGGCAGATTGAAGGAAAAGTAGTTGAAATATCTAGACTTCAAGAAATATTTACAGAAAAAGTATTACAACAGGTAAGAAGAAACCCAGAGCTGGCTCTTTCACTAAAGAGCTTTGAGATCTGTACAAAATTCCCAGCCCCTTCCAGGATGCAGCCAAAATGTCTCTAGTGATCAAGCACAGGAAGACAGAGAGGGCAAAACACGAATTGGTTTGTGTGGGGACTGAGAGTGCAGCCACTGAAAAGGGTTCGTGGATCACAAATTTGCTTCAGAAATATGCTCCAGCGGAGAACATTGTGGGGGAATGAACACAGTGGCCGGGGGCAGCTAAAAAGGAGGTTGCTACTCTGAGCTCCTGAGCATAAAATGGGAACTGGGTCAACTTGCTTTTTGGCTTTTCCTGATGTGAAAATTCTCTATTGAAAATTTTTCCACTCAGGGCACTTAAAAAACGCTTGGAGGATTGTCTTCAAAGGAATCCTGTCATTAACACTAAGCTTACAGCTTTTTTTTCAGGCAGTGCAAAAACATGGAAGTAGTCAGGTTGTTTTTCTGAAGTGCAGAGAGGGGGCCTGTCTGAAATATTTGTGAAGCGCGCACACATCCTAGTGTTGATGACCGTGGCCCAAAAGTTTCCCCCTCCCCAGGAACTTTGTTCCTTTTGCCTGGCATCTGCCCCACTTTGCGGGCAGTCTCGTGCAGAGACAGAGAAAACCTGGTGCAAATGGTCAGTGGCATCCCACGTCTGCTCTTTCCTTAAATCCTTTTTTATTGATGGTAGCTGCTCTAGGTAGACCATCACCAGTTTGTCATTGGCTCCAAGATAAAAGTTTCCTGAAGTCAAGCTCAGCTTTTTGTCGCTACATGGACACATCCATGCAGTTTTCTTGACAACAGGACAGGAGTGGTAGTTGCGGTCTTCTTCCTGGATAGTCTTCAAATTCCCAGTCTAGCCTTCCGCCTTGGGATTTCCTGATGGTCTTCCATCCAACTAGTAACTGCCTCAAAAGTCCTGTTTGCCTTTTTCAGAGGGGTTCAGTCAAGGCCATCTAGGTGCTGCCATTTGCTGAGAGTAATCAGATATATGTTAATTCCTAGGAAGCTGAAATTGACAATATCCACCAGATAGTTGTGGGTGCAACTGAGAACATCAAGGAAGGCAATGAAGACATAAGAGAGGTAATCTTGACCAAGAGTTTCTTGCTTTGTGTTAAAGTTTTCTTGATTAACACATGGCAGGTTTTACTCCAGTAGCCTGGGTCTGTTGTATTTTGAAGGAATATAATCTTGTTTCTGGTTACTCTTGTTCTGTCTTGTGTGAAGATGTGCACTTTGCTATGATCAATTATGATTATGGGTGTGGCTTCCTCATAAAGCACATGTACAGTTCTTGCTCCATGACGCTACTTCTAAGAGTGATCTTAAAAAAAACAAATCTTAGCCATGGACAAGAAATGACCGTGCTCTCTTTTAATTCATACATTCTCTTTGAGATTTGCATTCTGTGCACATATGCAAAACTGTGTCTTGTTTTTACTTGAAAATGAAGGTGGAAATTAACTTAAAATGTTAATCCGGTTCTTACTTCCTACTATATAGTTTCCTGCTTAGTGAAATGGAAGTGGCCCTAGCTTGAGTACTTTTTAGGGGTGGCCAAAAGAGGAAACAGAGTGAATATAAAAGATGCAGGCCCTGGTGTCATTAAAGATGTATGGTTTGTCTTGCAGACCCACCTAAGTCAAATGCTGATTCAGTCTTCATGGCGGTTCAGGCATGAAGAAAAATATACATCTTTCATTGTCCTCGTTTTGAAAAAAAAAATGTGAAAGGAAAAAAATAGTGACTGGAGGTTGCCCTTCATCACCAGTCCATCTCTCCTCCGTATGTTGAGTAGTATAACCGATCAAAGCCACACTTGAGGAAAAAAGGGGGGGATAAAAATCTAAACAAAAAATACTGTAATGTGTGCTGAGGGGCACAAGGAGACAGTGCGGCCCAAGAAGGAAGGGAAATAAGAACTGGAAGAGCCAAGGTTAGCTGGCATCCAGGCTGAGGAGGAGGGCAGCACGATGAGCCACAGTTGCAGCAAATCAGTGCCAATCTGCCCTCCTTGAGGAGCAACTTTTTCATTTCATGAATAAATACCCCATAAAGAACATCAAGCAGCAGCAGGGATTCTGGACTCTCCTTTGCAGCCACAGGAGTGGCTAGGAAGACTCTGTGGATCAAAGAGAGCGCTTGTGACATTCTTGAAGGGAGAAAAGAAGCATCAGTCCCTCCTTCCAATGCTACCCTGGCTGCCCTGGGGCCTTTTTAACATCCTCTCATGCTGGGCTGTACCACCCAGCCAATGGCCAAGGGTGTGGGGGGGTGGGGCCTCTGCTCCTCCTGGCAGATTGGTCTGTGGTCTTTGCTCCCCGCTCCTCCCTCTCGGCCACTGAAGTCAAGGGCCTGGATGCTGACCTTTCCCCTGAGGCCGGAGGAAGGCAGGTGTAGACCCTTGGCACCAGTGCCACCCTCACCTAAGCCTTTAATGCACCATTCCTCGGTCAGGAAAGTTTCTCTTTCATGGTAAACAAGGGCTGTTTCAAAACGGTTAAAATGCTGCATCTTCATTCTCAGATTTCAGCTATTCAAATAAGTTATATAAAATAAAGGGGGGGATAAATTAATTAAGTGAACACAGTCATAATTCGATTGATCTTTCCCCACTAGTATGTGTTCTACTCTTAAAGGATGTCATGTGCAACAAAAGGTCTGAAGATACAAACTTTCATTTATATCATGTCTGAGACATAAACTGAAAACAATTTTGCATGTTCCTGAATTACCTATTTTAAAAGAAATATTTTTCCCCTCATAGGCAATCAAGAATAATGCTGGATTTCGAGTATGGATCCTCTTCTTCCTTGTAATGTGCTCTTTTTCCTTATTGTTTTTGGACTGGTATGGAAGCTGATCCTGGCCTCTAGATCCTAAAACCCGTAGAACCACCATAAGGTTTTCCTTGCCAAGTGATACTGTATTTCATGCATCATTGTTGTAGAAATATGTATATATCATATATACGCACCTCTGTCGATTCTTAACTCAGGAATATCCCAGAACTCACTCGATGAACCTGTAGGCAGCAGAATGAAGCTGGACAGCTGTCAGGAAATGCTCAATAAAAGTGTGGAGGTACATTATTGCAGCCAGAAGTTGCCAAATGTTTCTGTGTGATGAAATGCAAAGCTCCTGGTTCCCAGGGGCAGGGGAGGGGGGGTGCTCCTGATCCTTTTTTTCAGCCTGGGGGATGCCACTTATCAGCCCCTTCACTACTGGCTGAAGTTAAGGCAGGGGATCAGAAAAGGTCACCTTATTGGGACTGGTTTCTGGGTGGGAATAGGAAATGTGCACTTTCCAGAAACGGTGTGCTCCAACTCCCTCCCTAGTTTTGTCTCCCCTTTCAAAGCCCAAATCCCCCTCTTCAGCTTTGGGGACCCAAGCTCATGGTGCTCTGGGTCAGCCAGTGGGAGGCCGAGGGGTCTGGGCAGCCCAGAGCTGTGAGCTGCCCACCCTCTCCTAGAAAAGCCTGCTCCGTTGATGAATGTCTTGGCAGGCTAGTGCTTAAATGCATTTCAAGGGATATTGAATAATGGAAAGGAACATGTCTACTTAAAATTAAATGATTCAGTGCATTTCAGTTTACAGCAAACAGTGATTGTTTCAGACAGTCATGTAAATAATTATTAGAAAGGTGTTTTAGAAGAGGGTTTTATTGCAAGTAGAGTGATTGGAATCCTTCATTTCTTTTCCTCTTCATTGCAGAAAACATCTATTTAAACATATTGAGTTTGAGACTTGAGCATACTATTTTATTTTACACAGAGTGAAAATGTCAAAAGTTACATATGAATTTAAATTCAGTAAAGTATTGACTACTAGGAAATACAAACATGGTATAATGTATATAGGAGAGAACTCCTTGATGCAAAAGAAAGATTTGGCACATAATTTATTGCTTTTTATGTATTCCACACAGCAGTGATTACATACCAAAAAAAATTGTACAATACGTAATTATATTCAGTATTAAAATTTCCAATGAAACCATAAATGACATTTTCTAAGTAGACTGATGCAAAAAAATTCTGGAAGGAAATATAACCTAGAACCATGTTTGTCTTACTACAGGTACAGGAAAAAAGAGACATGTTGATGATTTTAAAGTGTGTTTTGGTAAAAGTAATGAAACTTTTGACATTCCACTGGGAAATAACACATTCAGAAGAACAAAAATGACAACAATTGTGAGCTAAAACCTATAATCAAGAACAGTGGACAAGTCAAGGCCAGAGTTAGATGGAGTGTCTTCCTAGTGCAGTGCAGTGTTTTTCCAAGAATCTAACATCCTATGAAACATCACAAATTAAAAAGCACTGCTGTCGTATCACTACAGAGCTTAGCAGAGGAGAAGCAGGTCACATTTATGCTGTTCCCTTGTTTTAGTCCAAATGGGCTGCAACCATTGACTGCTTATGCTGCAGGGGTTCAAGCAGCTTTCCCAACCTCTCTGGGAATGAACCAATAGTGAATCTGGGGAAGGATTTTAACATCATGAATTTCATAATTTAGGAATCAGTCAACATAATAAGTGGTGTACCTGCCATTCTGAGTGCTCAGCATACCTCAAGAAAGCAGTCTTGCCCTCCCCACCCACCCCCAGGTGCCATTTCAACATCAGAATAGTTTGAATTTGCTGTCATTTGATGCACTTTACTCCTCAGCTGGTTGACATGAAAATCCCACTGAGTTCAATGGAACCAATTTCCCAGCACAGCCTGATAGTTAAATAGTAGAAAATGCCAAAGGATGCTGCTAACAAAGGGCATTTTACACTGTTAAGATTTACAAAAGAGACAATTCTGATAACGTACATACTTTCTAGTTGCCCAGATTACATTGTGGAGTACATTTAATTTAAAGAGTTTCTGCCTTGTTTATTCCCTTAAATCTCCACTACCCTTCAGAACATTTTGTTCTTTATACTCTTGCCCTTTAATTAAAATGCCTAATCTATCACTAAAATTGTATAGCTCTTGAATGTCTAATTTGTATTTTGTTTGCACGGGATTCTTTAACGTGAATTTCACGATACAACAGAAACAATTAAGCCTGAAGATAGTGGACCTAGTAAGCCAAATCAGGCGAGTTTTATTTCTTGGTATCCACTTTGGCATTGCAAACCAATCAATTACATAACCATGACTGTTTGGATTGCAAAGCTGATTTAAAAGGAAACAAAACACCAGGACACACATTAAGATGCATGTCAACAAGCCCTGCCTGAATTGCTCTGTCAGATTCCTAAATTACAAGAATGTGCCTATGTTCAATGCCACTGAAAGAGAAATTGGTGTTAAAGCTCTAAAGCAATGCTGATATGCACTTGACCATTAATGGCCAACATTCATTTTCATTGCTCCATTTTGCAAAGCAGTTATCAGCAACCAAAGCAATTACACCATAAATTATGAGCAACCTCTAAGTTATCCTAACAATGAGACATTCCATGAAAACCATCTTGAGACCCTTTTGTAGACTCATCCTAAACAGATTTCTCAGCAGCTTCAGTCTCCTGCTCAGAAAGTTTCTCTTCTGAAAGCACTGTCATCCATGGAGAAACTGACCGCGTGATGGTTTGTTTGGCCAGGTTGTAGTGGTTGATCACTGTATAAAACTTTCCTCGAGCACTAGAGTCTTGTTCAGAATAGTAGTTCTCTAATCCAGCCGGAATGCATTGATTGTTCTGAAAGACACACCACACACACACACACACACACACACACACACACGCAATTGAAAACCAAAGAGGAAAAAGGAAGGCACTGAGGAAGACAGAAGTGCTGTGCATTAACAAAAAGCTGGGCAACTTCTGGTCCCCACAGGGTCCCAAAGTGTCCAGCAAAGCTTTCCCCTTGTGCCCCAGTTCCTTCTCATTAATTTGTCCCCCTGCCTTCAACCTTTGTTCCTCCAAGGCAGATATTTATTAAGGATCTTCAGTGGTTTTCAACTCTATTTGCCTCCTGTTTCCTAGATTTCCATGGTGTCCTTGCCAAAGGAACACCAGAGTCTTTTCTTGTCCTGCAGCTCAGGGCCCCTTAGTTTTTAGAGACGTCATTTTAATAGTGTCATTCTATTCCTCTGAGATGTTTCTCTTTTCTGAGGACGGGCAAAATGCATGGCCAGTCTGATCCAGTGAGACCAGGGCTTAGCACGGAGATTTCAGTGGATCCATCTCCAACCATGGGCTCTAAGCCAGACCCAGAAATACAGCCTCCACACCCACAGGGCTGAGAATCAAAGGACGATTTGTCTGTTTGGAAGAGCACCTCTGAAGCAGTGGTCTGAAGTTGTTATTCCTTAAGGGACCACTTTTGCAGACTGCTCTGAACAATGATGCTCAGATAGAGGGAGCAACTATATAACCTAGTTGTGAAATGCCAAAATGAGTTGTTACAGTAAAAAAAAAAAAATGGAATGCATAGAAAATATTGATAACAGGAACTAGGTACAGAAACTATCCTTCCCATATTCACGCCTCTCTCTTTTTCCTCATCTCTGGACTTCAACAAATAACAAATAAAATGCAATGTTCCCATCTCTACATTAACATTTACTGCAGCTAAAAATCTCCAGAGGACAGAGTACTGCGTACACCACCTTGAGCTCCTGAACAAAAAGTGGGATATAAATCTGATTGATTGATAAATAAATACATCTGGCTAACGTGTAAGATCTGAGAGGATTTTCTTTCTCCCATTCATAATGTCAAAAGAGAGGTTTGTTTTTGCACTAATTTGCTCTTGTATGAATTACAATATCATTAAATCATGCTTGCATTTTAGATAAAACGTTGAGTAAACTCAGGGATTGATGAACCACTATGATAAAAGCACACCTCTTCCCACCCTCACTATGCCTATGCTGGAAAGATTGAATAGATGCACAATTAGAAAAAAAAAAAAAGCTTTGTCTTAAAACCAGGCTTCATCAATACCCCATTATGTATCACCACCCAAAAAAAAACCCCTCCAGAGTTTGGT